ACAAATTTGCGTAATTAGAAAAGCAGTGCACTAAGTAAACGACGTTGATATATTCAAGCCAGTACAGAGTTGCATACAAGTTGCGTAATTACAGTACCTTCGGATATAATAACAATTTTACTAGTTTGACGCGCGGGGCACGAAAGAAAAAGGTTGCTAAGGTAACGCGCCAGTTCAGTGCGTGACTTGGGGTCAAACTTCGGTCAACACACACTTGATGTCAACATCGCCGCGCAACAAGTTTCGCAAAAAAGTACTTGAAGTTCAATTGCATCCCAAAATGATGTCGCTGATCACTCAGTTGTCGCAGCGTGTGTTGTGTCATGTCCATCATATATTTGGTCAACGCGAAACATTATTTTTTCTAAACATTTTCTGAGACCGATTTTATCAAAGCAGAGTTATTCCAGGCAAGATGGGCTTTGTAATATCTGCCATAACATCGCCCGGGCGATGCCTAGAAAAATAAAAAAAGGCAGTGCAGCCAGACGGCTACTTTGTAGCCACGTGTTCATTTTTTGTTTGTGTACAGAGAGTGACATTTGCCATTTTTCACTGTAACATGGTGCGTGGTCCTTGACACAGTGTGTGTTCTCTGTCCGACTATACGCCATGAATGTCGCTAGCCACGAGTCTCAGAGGCACTAAAAAACTTCCCGTAATCGTGTTCATTGGAAAACAAAACAAATCACTAATAAATTTATGAAAACAGTTCCTTTTTGAATTGATCTAAAAGTACTCGTTTAATTCGCGCACCAAAAACCAATAATTTCCGTTTTGACGCTATTAATTCGTGCACTTGAAAAAATTATTATTTTTACTACCGCGAATTAATCGAGTTTTTACGGTAGTACCATATTTGTCAACTACACGACTTATCCAAAACTTTGCCCATAGATGATGTTTCGACATGTTTCCAAAAAACACTGTCAGTTTATTTATTAGTCAAAGAAAATATCTGATGCAAATGTGCTGTAAGTATTCTAATTTAGAAGTCATTTTTATAACATTTAAATTTTTACTGGCACCTATATTAGAGTCCAAATTAAATTTGTTGTGGTTGTTGATGATGTATTCAAGAATACAATGTAAAATTGTGACTAGCTTAAATGGTAAACTGTGTTTGACAATGAACTGCCATGAAAAGTGTTAAATACTTCTTTAGAGATCTGGGATAATGTGCAGACCTGATTAGTTTTTAATTGATTGATTAATGACCCAATTTGCATATTAATTAACCAATTTTAAGCATTTTCACTTATTTTCAAAGTACCTGCAACAGATTTTAATCTTTTCACCACCAGTTTCTCTTTTTTTGGTCAAATTCACGAAATATCTTGTTTATAGTCTGCATTTTCCTTCAGAAGATTGGGACAAAAATAGCTAATTTTTTTGAGTAAAATCTGAAAATTGACTCAAATTTTGTCTGTTGGCTCTAAAATTAGGGTTCATTTCCAAATTTACATAAAATAACCAATTTGTTGGTGCTCCACAGATAACTTGAGTACCACTCATCAAATTTTAGTGAAACATAGGTGGTTTCGAGTAATCCACAGATTACTTCAGGGTTGAAATTCACGCATACACGTACTAGACATGCGATCGGTGCTATAATGAAGGCATATTATATGACTAATCTATCAGATTACAATATATGGTGATGTGATCTCAATAATAAATGTATGCATAACTGTAATATCATACATAATTACTGTTGCGGATAGGGACATGTAACTAACTGGTGCTATAGTTTTGTTATCTGACAAGATATATACCAAAATATTAAGTCGTCATTAACTGTTATACCATAGCTACTTGGAACCACCCTGATATCATTGCTTGCAGTTATATTTTTGACTCCTGTGTGTGAAGCACAAAAAGGGAGTCTTTGCAGTTAGTGTGTCTGTATGTGTGTGTCTGTGTGTGTGTGCGTGTGCGTGCGCACTGCTATCTCAAGAACCGTTTTTGATGAAACTTTATGCATAGATGCTCTGGGCCAATGTGCAGATTTGATTAGGTTTTGGTAAAAATCCATGCATATTAATTACCTAATTTGCATGGTAATTAGCTGATTTTTAGCTGTTCCATGACTGTTCCACTGATATCTAAAGAACCACTCATTGGATTTTGATGAAACTTGGCACATAGATGCTCTGAACTAATGTGCAGATTTGTTTAGTTTTGGGTAAAAATCTGTGCAATATTATTTAACTAATTTGCATAATGATTAATCAATTTTTGGCTTTTCTACTGATACATGTATCTCAAGTACTAATCATCACATTTCAATAAAACCTGGCACATAGATATCATAGAACACTGCACAGACCTGATAGTTTTTAGGTAATATCAGTACATATTAATAACCTATTTTGCATAATTAATTAATGTTCAGCTTTTGATATTTCAAGTAGTAATCATCACATTTCAATGAAACTTGGTACATAGTTACTTAAGGACTGTACAGAGACCTGATTAGCTTTGGGGTAAATATTTGTGCATATTAATTACCTAATTTGCATAATTAGTTATTTTTTCCATGAATGTTTCACTGATATTCAAAGAACCACTAATTGGATTTTAATGAAACTTTTATAAGAGTATTCATCATCACATTCCAATGAACCTAGGACTAAGCAGAGACCCAATTAGTTTTTTAGTAAATATTTATGCTTATTAATCACCTAATTAAAATAATTAATTAACACTGATATCTCAATTACTGATCATCACATTTGAATAAAATTTGGTGCATAAATGCTTTAGGACAATAGACAAGCCCGATTAATTTTGGTTTGAAATTTGTTCATATTAATAAACACAATTAATAAACACAATTTTTGCTTTATGTGAATTGGAGATGTGTTTCTAATATAGTAAATACAGTATTCCATATTTTTACTTCATGCCTCCAATACTTTCAGAACATGGTAGTTCTTTCTAAGCTTTCTTTACAGGGTCTTTCATTTTTCTTTTACATTGTTTACACATACAATCCTCATTGTCATAATCTGATCCTACAATCAATGCAAGTAAATATGTCTGTTGATGATGGTCAAGAAAATGTATAACTTGTATACATGTATCTGCTTTGTATTTCAGACAGACGAAGACAAGCCTCATGGATTTAGCCAAGTATTTCTACTGAAATTTGTGGACAACAGTTGTTATATTGCAAATGATATTTTTAGACTATCCTTGCATCATTCAGCTTGAAGGGCATTTCCTGTGAGGCCCTGCATTGACCATTAATCGTCCCCCAAAGTGATGTTCATAATATGTATATGACAGTCTTCTGTGGCACAGCAATATGTTGAATTAGTGACAGAATCAAACAGTCTCTGCAATACAGGTGAAAGATGTTAACATTTCTTACATGTAGTAGCTGGTAAAATAAAACACCAGAGAAACAAAATATCAATAAACATGGGCATGGGACTGCATCATTCAATTCATTCACATACATTCACTCAATTGAAGAAAACATTCACTGTATTTGGGATTTGAACTATCACACTAAACATGGAAACATTTGAAGATAAAGTGATTAACCATTAAGGATAATGTGATTAATTATTCTCTTATTTGAAAATGTATTTTAAGAATGAGAAGAGATGAATTTTATAGACTTCTTCCTATGGCAGTTCTTTCCTTGACCTCTTCCTATTACAGTTCTTTTCTAGACCTCTTCCTATAACAGTCCTTTCCTAGACCACTCCCTATTACAGTCCTTTCCTAGACCTTCCTATGGCAGTCCTTTCCTAGACCACTCCCTATTACAGTCCTTTCCTAGACCTTCCTATGGCAGTCCTTTCCTAAACCTCTTCCAATTACAGTTCTTTCCTAGACCACTCCCTATTACAGTCCTTTCCTAGACCTTCCTATGGCAGTCTTTTCCTAAACCTCTTCCTATGGCAGTGCTTTCCTAGACCTCTTCCTATGGCAGTGCTTTCCTAAACCTCTTCCTATGGCAGTCCTTTCCTAGACCTCTTCCTATGGCAGTCCTTTCCTAGACCTCTTCCTATGGCAGTCCTTTCCTAGACCTCTTCCTATGGCAGTCCCTTTTCTAGACCTCTTCCTATGGCAGTCCTTTCCTAGACCTCTTCCTATGGCAGTCCCTTTTCTAAACCTCTTCCTATGGCAGTCCCTTTCCTAGACCTCTTCCTATGGCAGTCCCTTTCCTAGACCTCTTCCTATGGCAGTCCTTTCCTAGACCTCTTCCTATGGCAGTCCTTTCCTAGACCTCTTCCTATGGCAGTCCCTTTTCTAAACCTCTTCCTATGGCAGTCCCTTTCCTAGACCTCTTCCTATGGCAGTCCCTTTCCTAGACCTCTTCCTATGGCAGTCCTTTCCTAGACCTCTTCCTATGGCAGTCCTTTCCTAGACCTCTTTCTATGGCAGTCCTTTCCTAAACCTCTTCCTATGGCAGTCCTTTCCCAAACCTCTTCCTATGGCAGTCCTTTCCCAAACCTCTTCCTATGGCAGTCCTTTCCTAGACCTCTTCCTATGGCAGTCCTTTCCTAGACCACTCCCTATTACAGTCCTTTCCTAAACCTCTTCCTATGGCAGTCCTTTCCTAAACCTCTTCCTATGGCAGTCCTTTCCTAGACCTCTTCCTATGGCAGTCCTTTCCCAAACCTCTTCCTATGGCAGTCCTTTCCCAAACCTCTTCCTATGGCAGTCCTTTCCTAGACCTCTTCCTATGGCAGTCCTTTCCTAAACCTCTTCCTATGGCAGTCCTTTCCTAGACCTCTTCCTATGGCAGTCCTTTCCTAGACCTCTTCCTATGGCAGTCCTTTCCTGGACCTCTTCCTATGGCAGTCCTTTCCTAGACCTTTTCCTATGACAGTCCTTTCCCATACCTCTTCCCATGGCAAACCGTTCTCTCATCATACTGCTTTCAAGATTTCTTCTATGTTAGCTCTTTTTCTTGTAAAGCAGTTTAGATCCCTAACTATGGCTAGATTCATATGACTTGAAAATATGATTCAAAATAACACCAGTCAGGCATTTCAAATGAATGAATCTGTGGAGTTATTTAAATAGTCTTTATTTCCTTACGTGTAACTAGAACTGTTAACCATGCTTTTACTCTAGTTTTCAATAAAATTTAAAATTAATATGGTCATAAGACATACGTTGTTTACTACCATAGATATATTTAATATGCATGTTAAATTTGTGGGAACGACTGTACTCATAGATATGATATAAATATTAAGTATATCTGCCTAATTTAAGTAATTACATGGTTATATTTTCAAATATGAAAACCATCTTTTATAATTATGTTACTTTTATTACTATTCCAGGCTTGGTTTGATAGTATTCAATGAGGTGTCATACATTGAGCTTGCTGTTTGTGTATTTTTTTTTATAAAATGTAGATTCAATTTAAAAAATAAAGCTAAATTTTCCATTACTCATTGTTTGTGTTTTGCACTGTTTTAATACTTAAGTTCATTGCTCTTATAGATGTCACTACACAATCACCACAAGTGTTCGAAAACAAAATCAGTTCAAATTTCATGTAGATTTATAGATGGATTATACATGTAGATTTATAGATGGATAATGCATGTAAATTTATAGATGGATTATGCATGTAAATTTATAGATGAATTATACATGAAGATTTATAGATGGATTATGCATGTAAATTTATAGATGGATTATACATGAAGAATAATGGATGAATTATACATGTAGATTTATGGGTGGATTATACATGTAGATTTATAGATGGATTATACATGTAGATTTATAGATGGATTATACATGAAGATTTATGGATGGATTATACATGTAGATTTATGGATGAATTATACATGTAGATTTATGGATGAATTATACATGAAGATTTATGGATGAATTATACATGTAGATTTATGGATGAATTATACATGTAGATTTATGGGTGGATTATACATGTAGATTTATGGGTGGATTATACATGTAGATTTATGGCTGAATTATACATGTAG